GAGAGAGAGAGAGAGAATGACACAGACTCTGCCAGCTAAACTACCCCCTAAAGGTGCCCCCAAAATACAGATCTTAGTATATATGTAGTAAATTGCTGTAAATTGTGTTTACATCTGTCATAATTGGTTAATAACTTAATTGCAGCACATTCCTAACAAAATGCATGATCTCTTGGTGGTTGTAAATCATAATTTCTTTAACAACGCTGTTAACAAATGTATATATTTAACAAATATAACAATGAAATGAAATGGTCATACAACACTGAATATGGTGTGCTTTATAGCAGACATTAAGAGTCTTTGGGGTTATCCAGAGGGAAAGTGTCAACCCATTTCTGTGTGCGGGCTAGACATTGATCCCAGTCATACAGCGGGCGGTACTGAAAGTGACGCAGGGCTTTGTCTGTGCGGACAGTGAAGGAGGTACTAGCCACGGCTAAGGTGTAACGGTTCAATAACGGCGTGAAGTTGTAAACAGGGCTCAGTATCCAGCGGAGCAAGTCATTAACTATGGCCAGAACCCAGAGGACCAGTGCGGGCATGCGGACCCTTCGGAAGTTAAATGTGGAAAGGAACATCATGTTGAAGTCCTCGTAGCTCTTGTAGGGTGAGTCATCGTAGCAGAAGAAAGCTTCACCTCCCACCGTCTGCGGGCGCTCCCTCAGGGCTCGGGCTACAAGCAGATGCATCCAGGCTACGTTGCCTAGTAAAACAAACAAATAAGTTAATACCACATTGAATGATGAAAGAAGTACTCAAAACATTTACCTCAGTAGAAATCCTCAAGTAGTATAATGTACTTGTGTCCCAAAATAAAATGTAGGCAGTCAAACAAATGACCCACCACTGTTTTCTTTTACATTTTTTACCAAGCTTTTTATGGCCCTTTTTGGAGCTTATGTGTTTGTGTTTTTAACAGTAATACTTGTTATAAGAAGCAAAAGGTGACTAATGACTTATACCAAATAAAGTAGGAAGCTTAGAAATAGAATTAAAATATAACTACTTTAAAAACAGATGAAAGCTGTGAAAGCTAAATCAAGACATTGTTGTAAAAGTTTTATGCCATTAACCAATGTTGAATATAAAACATAATATTCTTTACTTTATCCAGTGCCATCAGATAAACCTAGTGGCGTAGAAGTTCCTTACATTGTGTGTAAGTACAACACTTGAGTTGCTTAATTCCTGTGGCGACCTTACATCCACAGACATCATTGTTAACGTCACCTGAGTGCACGCTACAACTTACAAAATATCTACAGTGTCTTATGTGCTAATAGTGAACTTGCATCCTCAGTAGTTAAGGTTGAGAAAATGTATTTAATGACGTGTTTATACAGCTGCTCCTTTAAGATCAATGCAGGCTGATACTACTCACATGGTATCAGTATCACAAGAAATCTACATCAGGAATATCACTGCTGTTCATGTTTGTCATGTTGTACCCTCTGTCCATCTTTAGACGATACAGACTTCGGGCTTTTCACTCCTCGACTAGCAGTTGTTGAGGAGTCAGCTTAAGAGAGCGTTGTAAGGTTTTAGATTACCACCTGCACTGTCTGTACTGTTAAATCTATCAGTTACAAGAAATGTAGAGGAAGTGCTTTTGCACGGCAACTGTGCTTCTGCTTTTAGCCCTGGTGTGAACTCAAGTCATCATTTTTATCGGTTTCTCTTTTGTAGTTTATTTTTTCTCGCTGTCTCTCGAGTTACAAAGAGCAGAGGTTGTAATAGATCTGATTCCTCAGGCTACACTGAGGGACCCTGACGTGTCCTATAAGTTGTGGTTAAGACTCACTAAAACATTCATTTTACCTGCATAGACACGCCCGTGTTCGGAATTTTCTGGGACACCCCCGATGATCAAGCCTCCCCTTTGTACACCCTGCTTGTAGAAATCCTTAATTAGCTCGTGGCCCTCGCCATAGATCCCCGTCGGCCTCAGAGAGCATGTGTGTAAACACTGTCCACCCTTCACCTGGACAGAAGACAAAACCCAGATTTGATGTTAGGAATCAGAGAGACTTACAGAAATAAAAACCATAACACACAGGAGTCAAAGGGTTTTTTTTTGTGGATTTTCATTGCAGAAGTGACACTACAGCGAGGCCACAGGGGGTTGATAGAAAAAAAATTTGTGGCAACAAAAGATTCCCTCATGTTTTTTCCAAGCTGGAATCCAAGCAAGCACACGCCAGTTACAAAAATTTTAAACTGTCAGATTGTGCAACCTAGTCTTAAGCTTAAGATAATATAATACAGAAGCTGATATACCTGATCTGATACACACATCTGGATGCCAAGAAATACTTATTTCTATTCGGCATGTGTTTTTATGATTTTTGTGTTAAGACAGTTGTTTTATTATTTAAACTTTTTTACTTCTCTCAGTATGTCTGTAAACTGAACTCACTAGTTAAAATGTGCTTTTAATAAATCTGCTTCACTGGGATTTTGCTGTGACCAGAAACCACAAATAACCAGTTATTTGTTGAATTGATATTGTAAAACATACCTTGGTGCCATTAGCTTCAAGCACAATCTTCTCTGCCTTTGCTTTGCTCTTGGGATAGGCCATAGTGTGTTTCACATTGTAAGGTGTGTCTTCATTGCCCCTGCAGACAAATTTCAAACAGTAAGAGGAGAACTCAGGAGAAAGTAAGCAGACCTTGCTGATGTGACTTTGCTACATGTATGAAAGGAATGTCTTTGCTGGGCCAAATGGACACCAGGGAGGAAGCCTCCAAAGAGAAAGGCAGAGAGATAAAAACCGAGTTAGAAAGGGAAACAAAAGATTAAAATCAAGGACACGTCATGTCTGGCATTATAAGCTTCAGCTCTCACCTCAACTTGTTTTTTGTGTTTTTTTAGTGCTTGGGCAGACAAGAGCAAACAAAGGCTCATTCTCATGCTGTGATTTCATCTTATGATGTGAAGACAGAGAGGTTGCCAAATATTGGGTGTGCAAATTCACTCATACGCACAGACATGCACAGACACACACA